ATTTGCTCTCTTTTGTTAAATCTCTCCAGTGCCTTGCCTTATTTGCAACCACTTCAGTCTCAAAGCCAGGCAGATTCTGATTCTTTCGTTATGCAAATATTGCTTTATTAACAGACTAATTCATACATAGAAGATAATTATCTGTGCACAACAAGCCAGATGAACCGTCCTCTGTCACCTGTTTCTTTTAAAAAATGAATCAAAATTTACTATGGAATATAAGTAAATCTCACTGAGAAAACATGCAATCTCTATATATTTTCACAATGATAACAGCAGCTTTTACCATTCATATTTAGAAACCAACTCACATTTTTCTCCTATCAACATTTTAAATTTTATTGTTCTATTTTGGGGGGCAGGGGTATAATTTTTTTCAATTGTGGTAAAATATATATAACATTAAACGTATCATCTTAGCCATTTTTACATGTACAGCTCAGTAGTATTATGTATATTCAAACTGTGTATAATCATCACCCCCATCCATCTTCATAACTCTTTTCATCTTGCAAAATTAAATTAACACTCTGTACTCATTAAACAAAACTCCCCATTCTTCTCTTCCCAGCCTTTGGTAACTACCAGTCTATAATACTTTCTGTCTCTATGGGTAGAAACCAACTAACTTTCAAAGGACTCATTGGTGTCTTTTTACAAGGCATATAGACTTGTGCTATTCTCTATTGTTTCCTAGCACCTAGCATAGTGTCTGGTACATGTCATGTGTTCAATAAATGTTTGAATATTGACTGAGTAAATGATAGTTCTGACTTCTGGTCTACCCTCAAGTGACCCTAAGTTAAAGACTCAGACATACAGGAAATACAGGTTGGATGCAAAGAGAACATTATTGATGGGAAGGACACCAGCATTCTGCTGCTGTTTATCTCCACCCAAAATTCATTCCACCAATATAAACTGAATGCTTCTATATGATGAAAGCGCATTAAAGCCTCAGATACAAAGATGAACGCATAGACTGTGCCTCCAATGTGTGCTTTCCCATGATCACTTCATAGCATTTATCACATTCTAGTGCAATCATCTATGTATCTGCCCTGCCACTATACTGTAAGCTGGGCCAGGACATTGTCTATCACTGAGTAAGCACTCAATAAATATTTGGCAAATCATCTAATGGAGACTGTAGCCCACTGTGGGGAAAAACATGCACCATCATACAAAGTCAGGATCCTTAGTTGTATGAAAGAAAAGCTGCTGACTCTTGCCAAAATAGAAAAGAATTATATTGAAGATATTGGGTAGCTCTCAGGTGTGTTGGAAGGTGTAGAGATTTAGGACTGGGGCCAAGCCTCCACGAATAATGCACAAAAGTACTGCAGAACTAGCCCAATGGGAAAACTATCACCATTGCAACTCTCCATCAATACCGCTATTACATTAGAAACTCAATGTTACAATCAGTGAGGAACTAATTTCACTGCTAGTGCTGCCAACAAAGCCAACGCCTGGCTATTAGAGCTATTCATACCAGCAAGTTAAGGAGTTCCATAATGAGCCACTTTCCTCTGATTACTCATACCTGAATTTAAGTTTACTATGGATGAACCTGACTGGCAAAGCCTAGGTCATATTTTTGAGCCCAATTGTAATGAAGTCTGGAAATCTGAGTTCTAAATAAAAGAAAGCAGGCTGGGCATGATAGTTCATGCCTGTAATCCCGGCACTTTGGGAGGCTGGGGCAGGTGGATCACATCAGATCAGGAGTTTGAAAACAGCCTGGCCAACATGGGGAAACCTCGTCTCTACTAAAAATAAAAAAATTAGCCAAGCACGGTGGCACATGCCTGTGGTCCCAATTACTCAAGAGGCTGAGTAATCCTGTGAACCTGGGAGGCGGAGGTTGCAGTGAGCCGAGATCGTGCCACCATGCTCCATTCTGGTGACAGGGCAAGACTTTGTCTCAAAAGAAAAAAAAAAAGTAAAGTGACTCCTATGACAAAAATTCAGTAGCAATATGCAACAGGCATTAGGCCAAAAATATACATTCACTTTTTTATTTTCACGAACTTATATTCTTGTAGGATAGACAAAAACACATAAATGAACACAATGATGGATAGCACTAGATGCCACAAAGACAAGCAGAGCTGTAAACTAGGGAATTCAAGAAGAGTTTTTCCTCCGACTAGCATAGTCTTGAAGGATGTGAGGAAGCAGAAAGTACAGAGGCTCTGGGAGGGGAACTGACTGGACGTTTCTAAATGCTGCAAGGAGGCTGCAACTGAGTAGGTGAAGAAGAGGGTAGAAAATGAGGTGGAAAGGGCAGCCATGGACCATGTCACATAGGCCTTAGACGCTATGGTTTTGGACTCTGTGAGGTGGCAAGGGAAGAGCATAATCTGACATTTTAAAAGAATCACATTGGCTGCTATGTGGGGAATATTTTATAGGGAACAAGGGTAAAAACCCATCTGATCAAAGTATGAGCAGAAGGATCCAAGCACTAAAATCTGCCCAGATGGCTGGGGAGATGAGATATGAAGGGAATCTTGCCACAGGATTGGAAACTGCCCAAGAGCAGAGGTTAGAGGGCATCTTAGGCAAAGTGAAGAACAGGAACAAGAACACAGGGGCATGGAAGGCCCCAGCATATTTGGAAAACTTTGAGTGGTCTGGTCAGGTTACAGAGAGGGATCCAGACATGAGGCTGGAAAGGAGGAGAGACCTAAATGGCCAAGGGCTGACCGTACTGCTCTTTTAACTTTTCACATCACCAAAGTAAAATGTTGGTACAGTGACAGGGGCTGACTCCGAGGTACACCTGGGGCTACAACTTCCCCTGGGAGGAAAGTCCTCCCAACAGAGATCCCAAGAGAGCAAGAAGGCCACAGTTCCTTGCTCTTTCCCCTGTCCACAGACTAGAAAAAACATGGGCAACCCACAGTACTGAACTGTTAGTATCAAAGAAAGCTGGGCACACTCATTCACTGTGGTGCGGCAATCAGATAGCAGAGATCTGAAGGTATCTCCATCAGGTCAGTTCCCAGGAAAAACTGCCCAAGTAGATATCTTGTTTTCCACACTGTCTTAGTCCATTTCTGCTGCTATAACACAAATAACTTAAATGTACTACTTTATAATCAAATTTATAAACAATAGAAATCTATTTGTCCCAGTTCTGGAGGCTGGGATGTCCAGAGATCAAGACATCAACAGATTTGGTGTCTGGTGAGGTCCCTGTGCTTCACAGATGGCTTCTTCCTGTTGTGCCCTCACAGGGCAGAAGGGTGAAACAAGTTCCCTCAGGCCTCCTTTATAAGGGCACTAATCCCATGCATTAGCAACCAAATCACCACCCAAAAGCCCCCTATCTTTTTTTTTTCCCTTGAGACAAGTCTCACTCTGTCTCCCAAGCTAGAGTGCAGTGGAGTGGTCTTGGCTCACTGCAACCTCCACTTCCCAGGTTCAAGCGACTCTTTCTCCCAGGGTGGAGTGCAGTGGAGTGATTGCGTCTCATTGCAACCTCCACCTCCCAGGTTCAAGCGATTCTTGTGCCCCAGCCTCCTGAGTAGCTGGGATTACAGGTGCGTGCCAACATCCCCATCTAATTTTTTGTAGTTTTAGTAGAGCCCCGATTTCACTATGTTGGTCAAGCTAGTCTTGAACTCTTGACCTCAAACGATCCACCCTTCTCAGCCTCGCAAAGTGCTAGGATTACAGGCATGAGCCATCACACCTGGCCAAGCCCCACATCTTAATATCATCACCTTGAGGATTAGGCTTCAACACATGAATGTGGTAGGGATATACACATCCAGACCTCTTATTCCGCCCCAGATTCCCAGGCTATAAGTACACCGTGCCTTAAAGCAAGTACTAGCTGTGGGTTGGTGAAGAGAATGGAGGAGGGCATTCCAGAAGGAAAAAACAAGGTATGCAAATGCCAGGAACCAGAAAGCACCAAGGCTGGAAAGACAGGTTGAGCCTAGACTGTGAAATGCTTAGATAATGGGGTAGTCACCAGAACGGTTTATTCCTAAACCAGATTCACCAGTTAAGTAACCAAAACCGAAATGTGCAGTGCTTGTTTTTTGTCCATAATAGATGCTGGGAAATATTTGCAGATTGGCTGATTGAATCCACAGACGGAAGTCTGTGTAAATTCAGGGCAGATTGTCCCAGTTAATCACTATGACCAGTCAGACCTCTGTAATGATGGATTTACCTGACACGAGAAAGTTCCACCTCTCATAACAGCTTTGAGAACTTAACTGCAAGGAGGCCTTTATGTGATGAAATCCGGCTCAGGTGCCAAAGATCTCCAACATTAAGACCTTTGCAGGTGGGGATTCACTGTGATTTTAGGCACCCTAGATCCTTCCGTCTTCTACCTCAGCTAAGGGTTCCCACCCAAGCCAGCACTCAGCCTTTGTTACTCGCCTGCATCAGCCACAGGTCGCTACCTGTCACATCAGAGTTCTGGGCACAATCAAAATGCAGACCTTACAAGCACTGCAAGTCAAGACAAGTTGAGCAGCATGGGCTCCAAGGCTTTAAGAGGAACTCGGCCAAAAATTGTTCAAAACTGGCCATTTCAACCGAACTGGAACAGCGGGGCCCAGGGAGAGAAGGGGCTGATAAGATTAATGCAGCCCCCCGCTCTCCGTGGCTCTACTGCATTTCGGTGCGAGTTGCTACCAACTCCAGCGCGCGCCCCCACCCGCCCACTACACTAATCTCGTCTTATCCAGAGATAACAAGGAAAGGAACCCGTGGAGATGAGGTACAACTGGGATAAGGAGAGCGTGGGTGTTTTACGTTTGAATTTAAGCAACAAATCTGTCGAGCTGTTTTTCTTCACTTCCCGCTGGGTCATGCGAGTGGGAAGCTCCAACCCTCCAGGACTCTTTAAGAGTGAATCGCATCCCCTCAAGTTCCTCTCCAGGACCTCCCCCTCCTGCTGTCCCCGCCCTGCAGCTCCACCCTCTCACTCTGAGCCGCACGCACCCTTGTAAGCTCCCTGCCAGCAAAACTACTCTTCAAAGACTTCCTTCCGGGCACTGCGAAGCCCGCGTGGTTAGCATTCGGAGAGGCTGCGGCGCTCGCCTTCATCTAGGACAACAAAACTGCCATTTCTGAAAAGAAAGGAAACAGCTTCTGGGGTTCCCAGGCGCGCGCCTGCGAGGGAGGCCGGGAGCTGCGTCGCCACGCCCAGAACCCCGAGCCCGCCCCCGCGCCACCCCGCCCGGCCTTGCCGCTCCGGCTGCGCACGCGACGCCCCCTCCAGGCCCAGCTCTTGCGCCCTGTTTGGTCATTCGGGGGGCAAGCGGCGGGCGGGGAGACGTGCGCCGCCTGAGGGGACGCGGAGCCGGCACCGGCTACGCAGAGGAGCCGCTCTCGCTGCTGCCTCCGCGGCTGGGAACTCACGAGGCCGCCGCATCCTGCCCTTGGAACAATGGGACTCGGCGCGCGAGGTGCCTGGGCCGCGCTGCTCCTGGGGACTCTGCAGGTGCTGGCGTTGCTGGGGGCGGCCCGGGAGTACAACGCAAGCTCGGCGGGTAAGTAGCAGAGGGGGTCGCTCGCCCCCTTCATGGGAGGCAGCGCGCTGCAGAGGCTTGGGTTCCCAAGTTGGGCTCTAGTACAGAAAGTTTGTGTGTCTCTGGCCGAACACACGGAGGGGACCCGGAGGTGACTGGGCGGGCCAGGGAGAAACTGAGACTTGGGCTGGCCTCCCGCTGGCTCCGGGGCCGCCTGCTGAGGAAATTCCCGGGCTCTTTCCCTCTCGCTTTCTGGAAGCGGCGGTCGCAGGCTGGGACGGTTGCGAATAACCTGTTGAGTTACCGCAAGTTGGTTTTTACAGCCATTCCCTGAAGTTAATGTTTACTGGGGTTAGAGTTTATCTAAGGCTTCCATTTGTAAACAAGATTAGCTGAGTTGAGAAATATGTCTACCGAGGCCCGCGGAAACGTCTCTCAGTTAGTTGGGGAGCCTTTCAAGCGTCTCCCTGGCATTTTAACGTCTACGATTGTGCAACATTATCTAGATGACTTACGGTCTTAAGGTCCTCCTGACGCTCGAAGTTAGACCTCGGGGCTCTTGAAGCTAGTTGGGAGCTTTTGGGGAGCGCGACTCGCCCTCGCGGCAGTTGGCGCCGCCGCCCCCCTGGTGGGGCGCTTTCCGCGCCTCGCGTACAATAAACACCCGGCCGCGGCGCGCGTCAGCTGCGCAGCGTTAAGGGCACAGCTGCACGGTCGCAAGGGGCCCACCACGTCGCTAGTAAGGTCGTCACAGGATGATATTGACATTGCTCTTCTGTGTGGGGCAGAATTTGTTTACTTTTAGGCCCTTGGCCTTTTGGAGACTTCAAAAAGCCCTTTTTGGATGAAACCAGGAAGCTGGGATTTGCTGTGTAAATTCTGTCTTCCTTGGTCAACTGTTAAGTCAGGTTCCTAGGGTAGTGGTCAGTAAACTTAGGAAAAGTTAACTTCAGGTGATCTAAGGCTTTCATGGTTTTAGATTCTATCCATCCACTGTATATTTAGCCTTAGGTTGGTTTTATTCAGCAAGAGAAAAGGCAGTTGTGAATCCGGAAGGTTCAGGCACATCACTTGCTTTTGCTGGAATAATCTGGGTGAATTGATTTTTGTTTTGTTGAAGTTTTTTTTGTTTGTTTGCTTAATTGTGCATGTGACAAACTGGCTTTCCAGACCTAATTTTGAGATCATTTCAGAAAATGGTAAAATCATGTCCATCGAGGATCTTGGTGCTAATTTTAGACCACTTATTTCATGAGGTGAGGTCTTCATTTTTTAAAATTTGTTGCTATGTTTGTGAAAATAAATCTTACTGTTTCTCCAACGATCAGAGAAACTGTGAGTGACCATGCTTTTTTCTTTTGCCCTCATAACACCGATTTTCTTTTGCCCTGTTTTAACTCGCTGTTCTGTTTATTACTTAATGTCTTACTAGAGGTTAGTACCATTTGGAAAACTTAAAATGCTCTGCAGTAGGAGAGCCCTGAGTTCATGAACTAGTATAACCAACCTGAGGTGGAATCTCAGAATAATGTCACCTTGCAACTAGACTAAAAGAAGGTACGACAGAATATTTCTCAAAAAAGCAAGGAACTGTTATCCTAGTCTTCAAATATAGTGTCATCTGTATAAAATGTCATTATGAAGTGTAGTGATTTTTAACATACTAAAACTAATATGGCTAATTTTTACTGCGTACATTTTCTATGCAACCCCACGCAATGCTAATTTAGTTCCCTAAATCATCCCATTGGATCTTCACAGTTATTATTCCCATTTTATAGATAAGTAAGCTAATTTATGGAAAGTGAAATGATTAATACCTGTTGGGTTTCAGATCAGAATCCAAATTTTCTTTTTTTTTTTGAGACGGAGTTTCGCTCTTGTTACCCAGGCTGGAGTGCAATGGCGCGATCTCGGCTCACCGCAACCTCCGCCTCCTGGGTTCAGGCAATTCTCCTGCCTCAGCCTCCCGAGTAGCTGGGATTACAGGCACGCGCCACCATGCCCAGCTGATTTTTTGCATTTTTAGTAGAGACGGGGTTTCACCATGTTAACCAGGATGGTCTCGATCTCTTGACCTCGCGATCCACCCGCCTCGGCCTCCCAAAGTGCTGGGATTACAGGCGTGAGCCACCGCGCCCGGCCGTAGAATCCAAATTTTCAATTAACCATTTCACCACTAAGCCACATTTGGTGATGATGGCTCTTAAAGTAGATACGTAATGCTTTTATTCCACAGTACTACCATTGCCTAGAATATTGTGGGAGAAGATAAAAGCATTATTGAAATTCTGCTTTTAAAATATTCTTCACAGTCTGCTGCATAGCTTTATAAATACCATCAGTTGAAGGAGGAGGGACACTATGAACAAGTTTGCAAATCAGCAAACAGGATTTATTGTAGTAGTCCAATGAACAAGGTTAACAGGATGGGAGGGGAGGCTATTAGTCATTACTCTTAGTGGCAAGTAACAGAAACCCACTTTGAACAATCTTAGTGGAAAGAAGGAACCTTTTGACCATTGTAACTGAAAATTGCAAGGATTGAGGTGGCTTAAAAATTGCTGTATTCAAGATTTCAAATAAGTTGCCAAGAAATTAAGAAATCATCGCATAAGAGTGACAAGAGCAGGGCCACAAAAACAGGCTTTTGTGTTAGTGCAGGCAAAAGATGATAGTGAGTGGCAATGGAGATAAAAGGGTGGATTCTAGATCTGTTGGTGTGGGTGGAACTAATCACTTGCTGATGGATTGGAGGGTGGGATGAGGAAGAGAAAAGAATCAAAGGATGACCTTCGTTTTGGAGTTGAGCAGCTGGTAAGGCAACAATTGGGAGGGTTGGGGGGAGGAGCAGGTTTATAGTAGAAAATCAGTAGTTCCATTTTGGCACTCATGTCTGCAGGCTTAGGAATCAAACAGCCTGTTCCAATTTCAGACTCTGCCACTTTCTATCTGGGTGGCCTTCTCTGGGCCTCAGTTCTTGTCTGCAAAACAATACTCCTAAGAATTTTTGGGAGGATTAGATAGCTAATGCACATAACCCTGGCTTGTGATAGGCACCTAATGATGTTGGCAATTATTTGATACCTGCTGCTGAATACATCTATGTAGTCTATTGACCTTGATCTTTTTTCACTGTATCCTTTTGTGATAAACAGATGGTAGTCCCATCAAGAAGAAGACATTCTCACAAGAAAATTTGCCCAAGAAGGAAAGATGAATCCTTCAAAGTTATTGCTTTTCTTTGTACTTTGAGGATTTTTAAGTGGGGGAGAGTTCATCTTTGTGAAAAGGACCCAATAATGTACTTGCTGTCTTCCTTTGTCGTATGCATAATCTTCATTACACAAAGACTCAAAATGAATAAACCGCTCTGAAAAGTTGCTTAATTGGGACATAGAAATCTCTTATGTTTTTTCCAAATCTAAAGATACTAGTTTAAAAATTAAACTGGTACTGAGAAGGCTTGCAGTTAGATGAGAAAATCCTGTTTATCCCTCCATGGTGTGAAATTAGGGTGTTGGTGGTGCGGGACCTAGAGATGCCTATGAGTACAAAGGCCTCTCTCCTGAAATGGTCCCCTCCACTCAGGAGAGCAAAGCTGTCAGTGCAGAAATTGGCCCATCTGTCCCCAATTGTTCTGTCTTTATGTGGATGAATGAATTTTGGCAAAGCTATTGCATTCAGTGGCTGGTACATGGTAAGTACTATGTAAGTGTTACATAAGCTAGATGTTTTTTATCTTGAAAAACCCGATTATACAGTTTGGTTTACTGAGAGCTTTAAGATATGTTTCGTAACAACAGGGGCAAAAGTAGAACTTACTGTGGAATAATCTACCTTCCCCCACACCACTACCCCGCCTCCCCTTAGGCAGAAAACCACATTGCCAGTATTCTTAAATGTTCTTTCATAACAGGATGTTTCTTTCTTCTTACACCATCTGCAAACATAGAGAATTCTGTGCCTCCACACAACTCTAGTGCTAATTCAACAGGTGAGTTTTAAAAGATTAAAAAAATAGATTTTATTTGTCTAGGGTATGTGAAGTAATAACAGCCAGGGAGGTAGGTGTAAGCTGTACACTAACCTGTCTTAACCCTGAGTTATTCACCTGTGAATCCCAATAACCTGCCCTAATGTTCCATAGTAGGTATCAGTAAGTGATAGTTCACTGGATTAATCTTTCTCAGTCTTGTCAAGATGTGAATATATTCTAAAAAAGCATATCAGAATTTCATGTTAGGAGTTTTTGAAGTACATTTTTAGATGTGAGGGTTTTGTAGTTTGCCTGTAGATATGAAATGTCAGTACAGAAGTATGCAGGTCTTGCTGATGAAACAGGTCACATGAAGCTAGTCAGCTGTGGCCTTAATATACCTCTGCTGACTCTAAGGTGACCCTATTTACATTTCACCCATTATGCAGACTTCAACTCAAACAATTGGTGAGGCCCCTTAACCTGTGGTTTTAGTTTGGGACAAAGCCTTGGGCCTCTGAGTTCACTAGCCTGGAATGATATAGGAGCTAAGCTGATGTCATCAATAGCAGTAGTAAATCACCAAGGTATGTTTCTTGTAAACAATTTTTAGGTTATCTCCTCACTACCCATATTCTTCATAGTTGACTGAGTTGGAAACTAGAAATCCTATCCTATCACTAACCTATCACTATCACTAACTTGTTTACTTTTATTCAGGGAATAGTTATTGAATCTAATGAGCTGTCACATTCTAGGTTCTAAGAATACAAAATGGACCAACCCCTGACTTCTAGGAATTTTTGTTTATTTTGTGGCAAAATATACATGACATAAAATGTGTAATTAACCATTTTTTTAAGTGTAAAGCTCAGTGGCATTAAGCACATTCACACTGCTGTGGAACTTGCTGGAGTTTTTATTCCTGTGGAGCATTCCAGTGTTTCGCTTAGTTTACGTTTTTAGTTTACTGCAGTTCTTTCATTTTCTCTACCTTTTTGACTGGTGTCTGATGGCACATAGTTGGAACATACTTTTATTCTAGTTTTAAGTAATTGTACAGGAAACATTTTCATTGAGAGGAAAAAAGCCTAGATAGATTACTCTAAAATGTAATAGTAGTTGTCACTGGGTAGTTGTGAGAGGGTCTTAGTTAAAAAATATTTTATTACACTATTAGGTACCTTTTCCTTTTGTCCTTTATTGAATCTAATTCAGGACTACTGAACTTTTAACTTTGGATAAACGAAGGGGGTAGAAGAAATGTAATAATGATAAAGACAGTAATATTAACATTAGACAACATTTATTGAATGCCAACAACTTATAAGCTACTCCTCATACATTTACTAATCTAACAGTGGAGATAGGTATCATTTCTGTTTTACACATGGGGAAATTGAAACTTAGAGTGGTTCGGAAATGGCCAAGATCACATGACACTAAGTGTCACATTCAGGATTTGAAACCTAATTGTATTCTAAAACCTATATCCCTTTATCACACTTTCTGAAATGGTGGTGTGATCTTTTAAAAAATGCTTTTCACTGTGAATGATTATTAAAAAATCAACTCTATATACTCTGAGGGCAGCTCTAGAGTCAGAGGGATGATTTTGGATGCCCCTTCTAGAACAGGGAAATTTTTTTGAGAAAAAAGAAAAACGTTGCCTCAAATTTTTCTGGAAGGAAACCAGATAATACAACCATTAAAAAATGGTTTTGGTCAATGTGTTATAATTCTCATAACTGTTGCATTCCTCTTTGAATCTTGAAAACACTTTTGAAACATGTTAAGTTTGTGTATTTTTATAGGATGGATGCTTAACTTTTTAGTAACATAGACCCTTTCATTGTTGAAGCATTGTTTGTTTGAACATATTGTTTACCAGTTTGTTTGGTGCTGTTCATTTAGCGCAGTTTCTGTGGGGCCATCTCACTAGGAATATAGCATCTTTGGCAAATTCCGTTATGTATTCCAGGAATGTACTCTTGGAAAAAGCGGGGACTGCCTGCAATACTACTTAGAATGCTGGATGCCTGTCACTTTTATAGGACTCACCATGTTGGAATTTCGGAGACGTTTTTTCTCGTTTGTTTTGGTCTCTAGCTAAGTCCTTGAGAGTGAAATCCATGATTTATTCATTCTGACATCTCACTCTATGCCTGGTGCATAGTAGGTATGCAGAATATGTGTATTTTTGATTGGTCAAACTGAATTGTGGAACGAAATACATATTTTGTAATTGCTGACTTTCCTTATCAAAACACTGTTATATACATTTTGCAGATATGTACTGGTTTGTGCTCCAATCCTGTCCATTATTATAGTTGTTTTTCTGTTTATACAGTAATATAGGTACTTGAAGTCAAACAATGGGAATGGTTGTTCCTTTCCTATATACCACTGAATTATATGTAACAGTTCTACTTTTTTATGACCGCTAATCATTATTTGAGGACAGCTACACTTTTGACATTCTTGTCTGCGGGGACTTGTTAGACACTTTCAGCTTATAGAGAAAATAATTTCCCTTTAATTCATTTGTAGTCAGAGTATTTTATTTTAGATTTTGTAGATGGATGAATTTACTCTTTATAGTGCACGAAAGGCACATACCCAGATTATTTTTCATAATGGGTTTGGGCAAGGATGTAAGGAAATGTGACATGGTCTAGAATGGAGTATAGTAACTTGCACCTGGCTTACATTTAGGTTTCTACAAAAGTTCATCAGTAACTAGAACAGCAGCTCAGTATCATTCAGGATACAGCTGTCTCCTTGATCATCTGGCATTGATGCTTCCCAAGAAAGAGAGATCTGAGAGGGCTGGGTTACCATCATCCAATCTGAAGCTGTTTTCTTGGACATAATTTGCACCAACTCCTTTCCAAAGCAGTTTATCTTCTAATCGTGTATGTTCCATTTATTACGATTGCCATTGGTTTGGTTACTCATCCTTGGTCTAGTCATTTGGCCCACTCTAGTGAAGTTAATTTTATCCATAGACATGGCAGGGATGGGTAGCTGAGAGAGGGTCTTATTTAAGAAACACTTCGTTACACTATTAGGTACCTTCTCCATTTGAATCTAATTCTGCGCTGCTGAACTTTTAACCACAATTTTGAACACTTGCACCTGGCTTACATTTAGGTTTCTACAAAAGAAGGCAGTCAAAATTCTGTATTCCAATTTTTACTCCCAAATGCAGCAGTGAAAATCTAACTGAAGTGGAAAGAATTTATCAGGTATATAATCCCATATGCCACACTACCTTCTTTATTTTAAATGAAATGTTTTATATGTGAAAAGAATATTAGATGAAAACTTTCTGAGTTTGTAAGTCAAAGCAGGAACCAGTTGGCCTGACAGGTTTCTTTAGTTGCAAATGGTGAGATGGATGGATGGATGGATGGATGGATGGATGGATAGATGCATGCAAATGGTGATAGACAGACATAGAGATATCAATACTGGTTTTTAACTAGAGATTTGATGTAGGAAATAATTTTTCTAACTAAAGAATTCATAGTGCACTTAACTGCTTAAACTCCTCAAAGTTAATTGTGTTCAATTTATGTTTTTGAGATTGCATCTGAAAATTGCTGGTAATGTTTAACATCATCTAATTTTGTTTAAAGGAATGTAATGTGGGAAAATCATGCAATATTATGCTCACTTAATCAGTGAACAGTTATTAGTTTGGACTGCCCACTCCACTGGTCACTATTTAGGCACAAGACATAAGTGGTAAATAAGATGGGTAAGTTCCTGCTCTCATGAAGATAATATCCAGGTGGAGAGACATGGACTATAAGGAAATAAACAGCTAGAGAAGATACTTTTGGATTGTGATGTAAAATAAATGGGACAAGGAATGGTGGCCCGTGCCTGTAATCCTAGCACTTTGAGAGGCCAAGGTGGGCGGATCACTTGAGGTCAGGAGTTTGAGACCAGCCTGGCCAACATGGTGAAACCCTGTCTCTACTAAAAATACAAAATTAGCTGGGTGTGGTGGTGCATGCCTGTAACCCCAGGTACTCAGGAGGCTGAGGCAGGAGAATTGCTTGAAACTGAGAGACGGAGGTTGCAGTGAGCCTAGATTGTGCCACTATACTCTAGCCTGAGTGACAGAGCAAGACTCTGTCTTAAAAATAATAATAAGTAAAAAGGGTAAAATACATGTGTATCAGCATGCATAAAGAAGGTAATGTGGAAGAGAATGACTAGGGAAGGGCTGTGGGTAGGTTGGTCAGGGAAGCCCCCTCTGAAGTGGGATTAGCTGAGACCTGCGTGACAGGAAGGAGCTAGCCCTACAAATACTAGGGGGAGGAACATTCCAGGCAGAAGGCCTGAAACAGGACTGAGGAACATATATTTTAGATCAAACGATTATATTTTGAGACATCAAAAACAGAGCAGGCCCTGGTAGAGGAGACCAGAAATGTGGATTCTGACAACTTAGAATGTGGATTCTTGTTGATGTCTCTGCATCTTTTTTAATTTTACAGTGATTCTAAACCACTGTGTACTCCATACTCCCTGCAATCCCAAGACAGCAGATAAAATAATAAATTGGAACTGCACTGGTGCTTTCTTTTCTGAAGTATGCCTCCATTCTTAAAGTTGTAATTAGGACCCAATTGAAATGCTTTGAGTTCAGATTAAGGACTACTGCTGTACTTCATTGTGATATGAGCTATAAAGGGGAATGTTTAACATTTTAAACTTTAAATTTTATTTGTTTGTTTTGTTTTTTTGAGACAGTCTCATTCTGTCACCCAGGCTGGAGTACAGTAGCATGACCTTGGCTCACTACAACCTAGGCTTCTTGGGTTCAAGCAGTTCTCCTACCTCAGCCTCCCTAGTAGCTAGGATTACAGGTGTGTGGCACCACACCCAGCTAATTATTGTATTTGAAGATTTAGAGTGATGAGGCTGAGTAACCAACCAGCCTGTCATGTAAATTCTGGGAAAACCCAGGAAATCCTGAATATGCCTGTGGGATGGTGGGAGCAGGGAGAGGAGGTCATGATGAATGGGGATTAGAAGAGATAAATAGTCGGGGGAAGTTACACAAACTGAAAAAGCCTGCAAAAATCCCAAAAACAGTACAGAACAGCAATAAAACTAACGGGAAAACAAAACTTGGGACCATTTTTAAATACTTGTTTTTTACCTTTTCAAAAGCAGAAAAAATAAAAGATGGTATAGAAGATAAAACATAGGCTGTAAAGCTGGGCGTGGTGGTTCATGCCTGTAATCCCAGCACCTTGGGAGGTCAAGGTGTGAGGATCACTTGAGGTCAGGCGTTGGAGACCAGCCTGGCCAACATGGTGAAACCCCATCTTTTTTTTTTTTTTTTTTTTCGTTTTTAAAACATATTTTAATGAAAACACTTTCTCACTATCTTTAAATAAAAACAATTTGGATTTTACAATTGGAAGCTGCCCAGGCACTAGGCCTCATCTGCTTTCTGCTCCACAGGTTTCAGATGCCACTGCACTACTAATACCCCAGTGCTTTTGAGGCATGTGTTGTTAGACATGTTCTCCTCTGTTGAAAGTCCTTGTGGCAACTTCAAGGGCTTGATTCTTATCAAATGCTTAACCACTTTCAATTTTGCATTCACTGAAGGGATATTCTTGTGAACTTGAGGGGTATGTGCTTTTTCTAATTTAAGCATCTTTATTATATCTTTTTCCCAATATGGATGTCTTCTTGTACTTTTTATTCTGGTAACAATATGCCGTTTATGAGGGTCCTGTGGATCCCCACCATATTTTTCATGATCTTCAGGTGAGGCCTGAAATACTTTATCTGGTATTTTTACAGATTAATAAAGATACTTTATTAATACTTAATTAATAAAGTATTTTGTTAATAAAGAACAAAATACTTTATTCTTGATTTGGTGAATTTGTGACGAATCCAATCTGTACAAATAAGAGACTCCACACCTTTTGTCACTGTCTGTAGTCTGCCTGGGGGCCTCTGAGCAACTAAGCGCAAAATCCCAGCCATAAGTGTAGTGATTGCTCTCTTTAGAGGCAGCACCTACTCAACGTTCAGCCCTGAAGTTTTCCACCAAAGGTGAAACCCCATCTTTAAAAAAAAAAAAAAAATGGTCAAAAAAAGTAGACCTAGGCCAGAAAAGTCAACTAACCAAACTCTGGGTTCCTGTTGTCTTTCGATAATGAAACCATCTGGTACACAGTAGGTTGAATCTAAATTCTAGTGTGAATAGGAGAATGGACTCAAGTGGCATTGAATGCTTGGCATTCTTTTTTATTCTCTTTCTTTTGCATTAAATACTCCTTTTTCACAGAGAGCTGACAGGTGTGCTCTAGAGTCCCGTGACTTCCATCTTTTAGACTAAAATTGATGACTTACCCCATCATGTTGAGTAACACAAAGATTTCTCAGGAATAATTTTTCCCAGATGTATGAAGTCTTAGGAAGAAACTTTGAGTTAAGTAATAATTAGAGTTAAGCAATAATTGGTACTGAACATTAGCTGCATGGCTCTTGATCTCTTTGAGTGTTTGTTAAGTACATATTTTTGTTTAAAATCTATTGATAAAGTAATGCATGCACCAGTGTTCCTGGCTTTGAATTACATTTCTTTATAAGGAGTTAAATTGAGGTTGGGCATGGTGGCTTACGCCTGTAATCTCAGCACTTTGGGAGGCTTAGAGGGGCAGATCACTTGAGTTCAGAAGTTTGAGACCAGCCTGACCAACATGGTGAAACCCTATCTCTACTAAAAATAGAAAAATTAGCCACGTGTGGTGATCAGCACCTGTGGTCCCAGCTGCATGGGAAGCTGAGGCAGGAGAATCACTAACCGAAGGGTGGAAGCTGCTTTGAGCCGAGATTACGCCACTGCACTCCAGCCTGGGCAATAGAGGGAGACTCTGTCTCAAAAAAAATAAAAAATGAGTTAAACCGAGAACATTTCATAATGGCTTTTGGTTTCTTTGTCTTTGTTAAGGAAACTTTATGCTTTTTTTAAAAAAAATATTCACTGAGATGTAATTCACATACCATATAATTAAATTTATATAATCACACACCCCATTTCAAGTGTACAGTCCAGTGATTTTTAGCATATTCACAGGTATGTATAACCATCACCACAGTCAATTTGAGAACATTCCCATCACCTCAAAAAGAAACGCTGTGCTCTTTAGTTATCACCACCTTAATGTTGCCCCCACCAGCTCTAAGTAACCACAGATCTACTTTAATTTTCCTGTTCTGGACTTTCATATAATGCCATCATGTAGTATATAGTCTTTTGTGACTGTCTTCTTTCTGTACTTCATTCTCTTTTATGGCAGCACAATTCACTGTGTGGATATGTCAGGTATGGTTTATCCATTCCTCTGTTGATGGATATTGGAGTTGCTTCCGCCTTTTGCTTCCACATTATTATGAATAATGCTCCTATGAATATTTTTTTACATTTGTGTGGAAATATATTTTCATTTTTATTGGGAATATACATAGGAGTAGAATTGCTAGGTCATATGGTAACTGTTTAATGAATTGCCAAGGCCAGACGCAGTGGCTCACGTCTGTAATCCCAGCACTTTGGGAGGCTGAGGCAGGCGGATCACCAGAGATCAGGAGTTCAAGACCAGCGTGACCAACGTGGAGAAACTCTCTACTAAAAACACAAAATTAGCCAGGTGTAGTGGCACATGCCTGTAATCCCAGCTTCTCGGGAGGCTGAGGCAGGAGAATCACTTAAACCCAGGAGGTAGAGGTTGCAGTGAACTGAGATTGCGCCATCGCACTCCAGCCTGGGCAACAAGAGCGAAGCTCTGTCTCAAAAAAAAAAAAAAAAACCTGCCAAACTGTTTTCCAAAGTAGCTACACCATTTTACATACACACCAGCAGGGTATAACGGTTTTATTTTCTTCATATTCTCACCAGACTTTGTTGTTGTATAGCTTTTTGGTTGTAATTATCCTAATGGGCATGATGTGTTTTTGATTTGCATTTCCTTGTTAACTAATGGGTTGGAGATTTTTTCATGTGATTATTGGTCATTTTCTGTGAAGAAGTGTCTATTTAAGTCCTTTGCTGGTTTTTAAATTGGGCTCTCTTTTTGTTAGCTTATCTGTGTTTTTTTATTATTTTTTCTTTTTATTAAGATAATACAGGTTCTTGTAGAAATTTTTTTTGTCAGTATAGTTGCAATTATATTTTTGTTTGATCTGCATTGGTTGAATCCATAGATATAGAACCCATGAATATGAAGGGACAATTATAATAATATTATTTTATTTTTCATTTTATAGTTTATTTTTTTAAATCATACTTTAAGTTTTGGGGTACTTGGGCAGAACGTGCACGTTTGTTACTTAGGTATGCACATGACATGGTAGTTTGCTGCATCCATCACATTAGGTATTTCTCCTAAAGCTGTCCCTCCCCTAATCCCCCACCCCATGACAGGCCCTAGTGTATGATGTTCCCCTCCCTGTGTCCATGTGTTCTCATTGTTCAACACCCACTTAGGAGTGAGAACATGCAATGTTTGGTTTTATGTTCTTGTGTCAGTTTGCTGAAAATGTTGGTTTCCAGCTTCATCCTGTCACTGCAAAGGGCATGAACTCATCCTTTTTTATGGCTGCATTGTATTCCATGGTCTATATGTGCCACATTTTCTTTAGTCTATCATTGGTGGGCCTTTGGGTTGGTTCCAAGTCTTTGCTATTGTGAACAGAGCTGCAATAAACATACATGTGCATATGTCTTTATAATAGAATGATTTATAATCTTTTGGGTATATACCCAGTAATGGGATTACTGAGTCAAATGGCATTTCTGTTGCTAGATCCTTGAGGATTTGCCACACTGTCTTCCACAACAGTTGAACTAATTTACACTCCCACCAATAGTGTAAAAGTGTTCCTATTTCTTCACATCCTCTCCAGCATCTGTTGATCACCATTGTAACTGGTGTGAGATGATATCTCAACATGGTTTTGATTTGCATTTTTCTAATGACCAGTGATGATGAACTTTTTTTCGTTTGTTGGCTCCATAAATGTCTTTTTTTTTTTTTCTTTTTTT